TAGAAAGTCACCTAAAGAACATTTTGAAACATTTTTTAGATAAACGCCATAATTCAAGTTACGCTCTTCTTCCACCCATTTAATATTGATCACGAGAAGGAAACTACTCATTGATATGAGTACGTGGATTATTTGGTGGTAGAAGAAACTGTTGTATTTTTAAACATCAAACAATTCATTACAAGTACAAATCACTTTTATATTATAATGAATGACATTCAACAGATTTTTCATATTTGAAAGGAAAAATAAATTAGGAACACTTTTTAGAGAACATGACACCATTGTGGTATTGAACCAGAATCTCATGAACCATTAAACACATTTTTTGGAGTGGATTTAAATAAAACCTAAACAAACACACACGCACACACGAGCATGCACGCGCATGCACGCACGCGCGCACACGCACACACACTTCAGGAACAAGTTCCCATATTTCACTGGTTTTCGTAGTTTTATTAATCTCTTTAATCTGTAAAATCATTCTGGTTTCGCCCCACCCTCTTCCCAGCTGCCGTCTATTGCCATCTAAAGGGCATTTTCTCAATTTTTCAGTCCCTTAATGGTAGGACTGAAATATGAACAACATTTTTTGAGAAAATGCCAAGGAAGCTCAGAAGAGCACTGCTGAGAAGGTTGATAGTCAAAATGTGACCTTGCTTCTACTACTGAGCAGATTATCCAGGAAACGGAAGAACAGACTTGAGTTGAGGAGTCCTTGGATGAGAATTCAAAGAAGTGTTCTACCATGGAGTTGGAGGCTGTGCAGGATATTCTACAATGGATCCATGGAGATTGAAGATCAGGACCAGACAACGAAAGTCATGAGGTTGGGAAAGTTCCAGAGCGATAGAGATGATAATCCCAGACCGCTCAAAGTCATTCTGTCATACTGAAGTTCAATTGAGTAAAAGACAATCATTTCGTGCATTTAATATAAAAATAATTATATCATTATTGATGCTTAGAATAGGCAAATTGTTTAGAAACAGTTCGTGATTAAGGTTATGACAAAATTCAGAAAAGAAAGAAAGAAAAGAAAAAAAAAAGGAGGAAAAATGAGAAAGAACAAGAAGATTCATAATGTTCATTATTAGTCTTTTATTTCAAATTTATATTTGAATTTGTTGTTGAATATATTTCAATTGTTTTTGTTTATGCTATCAGTTGATATAGTGTTTTATAGGAACAATATCTATTATGCCCACCTAGAGCAAGGGTTCATAGAGGTCAACTGTGTTCACAAACAAATAACATTTGTACATGATTGTTTACAATGTATGTATTTTCACCATTGATAAGAACACTTTTATGTGATATCAAATTTTAAGGATTATTGTATACATTAGAATACCAGGGATACGAAATCAGAAAGAAATATCCAAAAATCTGAAGTTCTCTGTACTTAAATATGCAAAATATGAACAAACAATAGACTGATGTAATACATTTAATTTTTTCAACATATGCTATCAACGACACATGCAAACACAATTGCAAAAGAAATCATTTAATAATTCTATATGTGTAGCTAGCAGCATACATGTGCTTAGAGCCCAAATGGTTATATGCCCCCTTCCGTCTCTCAAAAATGGTAAGAAGAAAAACAAACCCAAAATATATGTATCAAATAAAGGTTTAATGCTATAGGCAGTAAAAATTGTAAAATTACTCACTCCACACAAGGTAGACTGTGCCCACAACCAGGGAGAGAAAGATGCTGTTTAGGCCAATGCCTCCTTCTAACAGTTTATTCACGCCATAAAATTTGTTGCTGTCGGACATTGGTCTTGAAAACAAAGAGCTTAGCAGCCAGCAAATCCACCCAAGAAAGGCCAATGTCACACATGTCAACAGCAGTGCTTGGTAGTAAGTCTCATAGTAGTTTATTCCAGTTAGGCAAGTCTTCATTAAAACTTCACTGAGTGCCACCTGACAAAAAACAAAACATATTCCGTGACAATTTCTATTTAAAGGTTGTAATTACTGAAATACAAGAATGGTAAGTAAAGGGTTCAGAGTTCTTCACATAATTGCAGACACTAAGATGGAGGAATAGGCCACCTACAGTAGGGTGGCTCAAATGCACGAGTTCAGACTGGACTGTCTGTGGTGGCTAGCTGTAGATGCCTCTGTGCCACTCGCCTCTCCCTATCATGTATAAGCACCTGCCCTTTTATCCCTCCTCTCTCATCCAGCTCATTTGACAAGCAGGACTGGTTGCCCACACAGGGTACACCAAATGGGCCACTCACACGACCAGCCCTGATTTGAATAAATTGGCCTCAAGAGAAATGACTAAAGAAACTTTCCAGAAGATGGAAAACTGTTTTGGGAATTATCTTCAAGAAGTTTAAGAAACAGTAATTTAATTTCAACTTTTTTATAAACTTCTTGCCTCACATATCTCATCACATTTTCCCGTCTCAACACAATCATAAACACTGCCATTAGACACCCCATTTTCCTCTCTCACACATCTTTTAGCTCATACCAATTGAGGAGATGTAAATAAATCCCTGTATACCTCTTAGAAAAGGCAATTTCATTCCGTGTAAGCCATGAAGAAAAGAGGAAAGGAAAGAATTGTAAATATATATCTGGAAACTTGAGTGTAAGTTTAAATCCTGCCATTTCCTTTCTGGAAATTTTGTCCAGCAACCTACAGAGAATTTCTATGCAATCTGATTTTGTATGAAAAGATTTTGTATTTCTAGCACCATTTTTAAAAGTTCAACTACAGTTCCAGGGAAATCAAAATATACTAGTACAAATAGAACTATTTTAGTATATTTTTTTAAGGGTAATTAAAAATATTGATTGGATGTAATAAGTATGACTGCTTAAACTAATTATAGTGGTTTTAATTAATTTCCCACCCTTTTTTTTCTTTTTTCTTTTCTCCCCCGCCTCCTCTGAAAAACAGAAAGACTTTTAATATCCATTATATCTAGAGTCACTTTTTGTGGGGAGGAGAAGTAGTATTAGAAAATGAAGTAATTTGAATATTACGAATAAAATAAGTAAGTGGTTGACAGTTCACTGTCAAATGGTAATGACCATGCCTACGATGATGTAATGACTGTAATGACTACTGTACTACTGTAATGACATTACCTAAGCAACAGTGAATCACAGGTTTTGACCTTTGTCCAACATTATCAATGAAAATTACAGAATAAATGAATTCATGGCTCAAATTTTGTAATTAATCCATTGTGCATCATTTCAAGTGTCAAAAGAGGTTAATCATGATAAAATGTGTATCACAATTAGGAATTGTGAGTAGCATTTACTGTATCGCACAGTAAAGGACAAAGTTGTCACCTCCACACCCATCTGTCAACCACATTCTTATTGTATTTGGTCATATCATTGCTGTGCAATGTTAACTGTGAAATGCTGCAGTGATCCATACTACAATAGTCATCATATTTTTTTTTTAAATTGGATGTGTTTGGTATTTCAAAATTCACAATGCCATATAATACAAATTTTTAATTACTTGGAATGCCTGGTTTCCAGAGTGTCAATATACAAAACAATTGCTGAAGAGTTATTCTGACCAATCAATAAATTAACAAACTCTTCGTAAAAATTAATACCACAGATTTATTACTAAGAGAATTGTACATTTGAATGACTATATATTCCATAAAAAATTCCACAACACAATTTACCTTGTTTTGACTGAGTTACTTTTAAAATATATTATCCAAAATTTCACTTAAAATCTATTTAATTTCAAGTTTACAGTTCCCACAAGTCATTCTAACTTGCAGCATGAACATACAGTTTTTTAATTTTTATATACTCACTGCCTCCCTGTATCGTCCCCCATAGATGTTGCTACGAATCTCATCCACCAATTCTTCCTCTTTACTTTGAGCCAGTGCAGGGAATGGCTGGTACAACCATGCCACAGTGTTTGCTTCTGTCATTTCTCTTTTGCGAGTGTACTGAGCAGCAATTTGTCGAGCATTAGCAAAAACCAATTCTGCCAACATCTGCTCCGGGACATCCAAATATTCTTTTGGGAGAACACCCTACTCGAAACAAATACACATTTTATCAATATTTTTATAAAGAGAAATCTGTAAAAATCTTTCATAACCATTCAATGTGTTCTAAAGAAGTGTATTACAAAGGGACCTTGATAGCTTGGTATCAGTAACTTGAATTGTTTTCTATACCAAATTTACAAGTTCCCATCCACTTCTCTCATGCATAAAGTGTTTGGTATTTCAAATTACATAATCATTCACATTATTTAGCAACTCCACTATTAACTCTTTTCTCCTTTAAGATTCCAGAATCCCTTTGTATACATGGGGCCATTCAGAAACTATATTTACTTTTAGAAGGAAGGAGGAACCTCCCAAAAAACTGTCAGACATGGATGATGGAAGGGGGAAGTTAATGAAATATGGATGTTCTGATATTTTTTTTTGTATTACTTGTTTTGTGTTCACATAAATCCAAACATTATTAATCAACTTACAATAAAAATTGAAAATATTATTAAAATGTTGAACTTTTCAGTTTATAGCACTGATTATATTATTCATGTCCAATTATAAATTATGTTTCAAAACAATGAAAAATATAATTTGTTTCTCATTTAAAAAGTAGTAATAAAATACATTTCACACAATTTTTAATGAACTTTACTTTTATTTAATTTGGAAAGAGGGTGACAAAGTAAAGGGGTGTTTGTATGTGTTACTAGTTTTTAGAAAAGAAGAAGAATTTAATAAAAGGCCAATTTTGCAAATAGGTTTTTTGATTGGCCTCTATACATTGTATAACAAATAAAAAAATTGAATAAAATAACATCCCTTATGGGTTGCTGATGAAATCAATAAAGACAACAGTGAAACCCTCCCATCAAAACTGGCATCCAAACTGGCATGCAAACTACTGCACAGTTTGTGTTTGTATAGGGTTTTGATTGTGATGAACTGAAGGAAATATGTCAACTGCATGTCACTATGTGTAACTATCTTAAAGTTGTGATTTTTCACAACTGGGTCAGCTTGTATATTTTTACAAAGAAGTATTTAATGACCAAAAACAAACTTGATTTTACGCCACAATGACAAATTCACCAAAACGCAAGGCTCACCACACTATTGACGGGAATGGAGATCCCCAGAAGAGATGCCATTAGAGGTGTAATATCAGCTTGGGCCACATCACGACGTGCCAAGTGTCCCAGACCCCAAGAAGAAGGACTTGCTGGGGTTCGTCGAGGTACAGCTGGGTGAGGCCCACCTATCCCAGCTCCCCACACCACTAAAGGTGTGGTAGTCTCACTCACATCTCCTGCGCCATGAGATCCTACAAAACAACATTCTTTTTAAATCATCTCCACTAAAAATACAAAATTCTTTTCATATCTAAAATATTGTAAACACACTGAGCACTTAAAGGAAAAAATTTCTTTCCTTTTTAGCCAAATAATTTAATACTAATTGCATTAAAAAATTGATATAATTTTAAATTCAAAGAGGATCATTATTTTTGTGCCAAAAAGCATTCTTGAATGTCAAAATTAGTTTGTTCAAACTTAAAGATAATCCATTTCAACATCATAGAATATTTTCCCAAAGTAAGAATTTTTAAATCAAGTGATGACTTCTTTTACCCAAAGTAAAATGAACTATATTTCTTGGTCATTTATAACCCAAATCTGTACCTACTACCTCATTTATCTAAACTAGTGTAATACATGTTTACTAACAAACATTTTTTTAATTTACTGTCAAACTTCTTTTTACACTTTCTGCTTTTCAATCTCAATGGCATTAGTTTTTGACTTTCGAGAGTTAAGAAATCCCTAATTTTCAGTTAGGATGGGAGGAACAGTATTGATTAAAAACTATATTCTGTTATCATAAGAACTGGAATTGAAGAAAAAATAAATAATTTCTTTTCAATTAAGATTACAACTGACTTTTTCCTCGATGAACTCTTGTCATCACTCAACATATAACTTTAGATGGCATTAGTGACCAAATTTCTTAACCATACTCTGTTTAGTCATGGATGTTGTTAACTCAAGACACCATATGTTCCAGGATGAGTGACGATTTGGGAACTCTTAGAGATTTAAAGGCCCCGGCCCCTGCCCAAAGAGATAAAAGGCAATGACTGACTATGACTGACAATGACTAGCTACCTTAAGGAGGATTACACCCTATTCAGAGCTAGTACGGATGGTTAGAGAAAGTTTTTACGAAGAATGTAACTGCATTTTTAAAAAAGAAGAGAGGAAAACAAAGAAAGGACAAACAAGTATGTTTTTTACGCTAGCTATTTCTCCTCGATTCATTCACATACCAATAAAGAAGTTTAGAAACGTATATCAAATATTTATCATTGAAAAGCAACACCACAAAAATATGCAGGAAATGACTTTTTGGAAAAAAGGAATTAGTGTAAGCAATCAGGAGTGCTCTAAGAATGTAGCAGTCAATTAGACAAACTAGAGAGATACCAGTGCCGAAAGATAATTTCAATTAATTGAATATCTGCTCAACAAATGAGTTCATTACAAATAACTTTTCAAACCTACTAACTGCCTCACATGCAACAACAAAACTCTTTAATTAAGATTTCTATTTTCATTTTTGATATAATTTAAACACCAAACTAAACGATGCTTCAGCATATTATTATAAAACAATGGCAAAGATTACCCTCTTTGAAAAACAATAGAGAGTCAGAAGACCATTTAGTCAAGATCTGCCTCAGAAAAAGAACAAAGTTAATAGGATTAGAAATTCCAAATCGATAGTAGAACTAATTGCAAAGCATTTTGATGATTTTTTTGAGGTGTAAACTCAATGAAATATCACCTGCATCAGAATTTAAGCTGTTTAGAAGCTAAATGGTAAAGAAGAAATTTAAGTTGCCACATTAAAAAAACCTGAAGAATATAATTAAGTAAATACAATTTTACTTTAGAAAAGGCACTAAGATACCAACTGGAAACTGAATCTTAAAAGAACCATATTTTGTTTGACATTCTCTCCTACGCATAATTTATTTTAAACTCACTTTACCCCAGTCAGTCATCCCATGGTCTGAAGTGAAAATGAATGCTGTGCGATTATCAGAATTGTAGAATTCCTCCAGCAGTTGCACAATTTCCCGCACTCCCTGGTCCACTGCCCTGAGGTTCTCCTCATATTCCCTGAAATCACAAATGTACAACTTCACTGCCTCTGACTACCAGGCTGCTGAGAGATGTTTCACATTATTCAGAACTTAGCACCATTAAAATACAACATATGTACACTTTTGAAGTTACATTTCTTCTTCATAGCAGCATTGTATAACATCAAATCTTTAACAACTTGTCTCTATATTCTTCAACATAATGACTTTTTATCAATAACTTTGGTTTTAATATGACAAAAGAAAAAAATATCAATGTGGAACTGATGTTTAATTATGAATAATTACTCTTTGTTGTTAATTACAGCAATCATTTTCTTAAAGGTCAGAGACCTCAAACAGAATAATTGCATGCACATGCATACATGCTCACACAAATACAATTCAGATAGAGAGACATATGAGCTCAAGGCTGAACACTTCATTAAATTTCCAATTTCACAAATTGTTGGATTAAATTTATTTCTAACCAAACAATCAGTTCTCTACATTACACAAATATGTCTGAATTTGTTTTAAGCAATGAGATTTAAACAATTAAATTAATAATATAATTTATTGTAATAGGAAAATACAGTGTCAACTAATAATAATATATGATTTTTTATTTTGACTCATTTATTGAAATATTTTCCTTCAATCAATCAAAAGAGGTAATAATCCATTTACATTAATTCATTCATTGGAACACAACTGGCTTTAATTCTGTACTATGAAATTCCTTCAGCAATGTTTTTAAGAGTATATTCATCATCAGGCAGGTTCACTTCAATACAATATAATATACATAATAAAATTGTAAATATGGGTAACTCCCATTAAATACATCAGAGGTTCATAACAATAAAACATCAGAGGTTCTTTATGTATGCATGTATGTATGTTCTTTATGTATGCATTCTTTATGTAAACTTTTCAAGATCCTTTGCTCTGCCCTCTGTGATCTGAGATAATATTCCTCAATCAAATCTTTGTGTGCTTCAATATAAATTCTACAAAAAGTAAGCTCAAAGGTTAATTGTGATTGGTATAATGTTCTTTTTAACCATTAATGAATATTATTTTCTGATAGGCAATGGAGACAATACCCTAGGATATTAAACCATACAACTGAAAGTTTTGTCTGATGTTGCTTTTTTATAAGCCTAATTTAATGTAATTTATGTTATTGATAGTTACAATTTTATTAAGTACTTTATATTAAAGAGTGTATGCTTTATAATGAAGAACATACTCTTCATCACGGTATGAATTTCAAAGTACATAATTAAAATTAGTTCCAAATAAGGATTTAATATAAATAGCTAACTAGCCGATTCTCCTTAATTCAAAAATATATATTATTTTACGTACTAAGTCAACTTAAAAATACAATTCACAAATATAAAAATTATATTTTTAATTTAAAACTGAGAAATACATACTTGGAATATGGTTTGTGGGTGTGTCCAGCAGTATCTAAGCCTAGTAAATGCAAGAAGAAGACAATTCGGTCTTGATGCAATCTCTGAAGCAACGTTTTGTCATTATGAGCCTCATGAAAAAACTTCTTCACTCTGTCAAAAACCCATAAGTCCAAACGAGTTGTATTATGTTTTCCAGAGAAGTCCTGCTCCTCTGCATCATACATATCCATCCACACATGATTCCCGCTTGCGCCTGACAAAATTTGTACATGTACAATCAGTTTAAGCATAGAATGTAAAGAAGGAGAAAATGAAAATTAATACATAACATTTTTAAAGCAAAAAGTACTCAAGTAACTAAAACCATCAAACCATCAGAGTTACAATAAATACAACTTTAATCTAATTCTAACAACTGAATCAACAGGTAAACTATAAGTAAATAGTCAATGCATAATGAAACATTTGAGGAGTTGGCTATCAAAACTATCTGAATCGATTATTTACCAAAATTAATTTTTGCTGACATTAAGGAGTTCTTCCCAACATCATGAACGAATGTAGTAGTTCACATCCAGCTCATGTTGGAATCTAACATGTGACTCGAACCCCCTGTTCATATCAAACTGGGTATGGAAAAGAGAATATTCTTGTTGATCTTGTAAAAATTTCAAAAATGGAATAAGCTGGTTATTAAATTAAAGTTAATTTTGGTAAATTTTTAATTGTTATTTCCAAGCACTAATGAGTAGGAACATAACAGACATGAGGGAAGCATCAAGAAGAAACAAATGTTTTAAGTATACAGTTAAGTAACACTGAGTATAAAAACTCAGTGCAAAAACAGTAGGACAAACCTTTGGAGAACATTGGAAGAATATCTGGACTTCCCCATGACCATGTTTCTCGGCTCTGATTGAAAACGGAATCAAATTGCACAGGGTTTTCTTTCCAGCCCTAAAGTTTAAAATAAATTTACATAAACATTTTTTAATAGAAATATTCAAATGCAAATTGCACTTAAGAGCAATTTCTCAGGTAAAGCACTAAATTCATTGTAGGGTTACTTCATTTCAAGACTGTGTACATGACAATTTCTCTAGGTGTTACTACCTAATTTTGTTCTGATTTACATAAAATAAAAGTGATTGTACTGAAGAAATAGAATAAAAACAGAAGAAATTGGGGAGAGTTATTATATCAATTTAACAACAAAATTACATACTTTTTCATATGCTACCACAGGGGCATCTCCCATATCAATTTTTTGGAGGGGAATGACTCAACTAGGTACAGACAACTGGGTAATACCCTCCAATAGATCCATGGATACGCACCTTGGCGATCGCCGATGGATCTTCATAAAGCCCAGCAATGAGCGCTACATGTCCGGGACGTGTCTCAGTGGGAACTCTCGTATGCGACACGCCCCAAGTGCCATGCTTGCCTATGATCTCCCGCAGAAACGGGCAGCTGTCAGCCTTCCCGAAGAAGGAGTCAGCGCGCAACCCGTCTGCTACAAAAAGCACAAGCCGCCGGGCAGGTGGCTCCAAAGGGGCAGCATGCGGTGACATGCCGTGCACTATGGGCGACTTAAAATAAATATCAAATATGGAAACGAGGAAAACCAGGTGAACGGCGAAACCCAAACAAATCGTCCACATTTTGAATCAATGTCATACACACATAACCTCAAAAGCACTGCTCGCGATTTATGAACAAGAAATAGGTGTTAACTTGGTATACAAGTCTGCCATCGTCAACTTTGAAGCTTAGAAATGTACAGAAAAAACAAATCCATCAATAATATTTCCAAAAAAAAAATGAGTGATAAAATGACAGTTCACAATGTTTACATTGCTCCTGTTCTAGTGACACAACATCGATCTATCTCGATTTTCTCTTTCGATGAAGGGAGGTATGTATCGACTTCATCAACTGTCAGCTGTTTCGTAGCAAGAGTCGAGAGCAGTCGAAGAGTAGGACTTGGCGCCAAAGTCGGCATAAGTGTTCGGTGTTCTGTGTAGTGCGGTATGAGGCAGGTCCTCGGTCCACCCCCCAGGGTCGGTGGATGCAATTGCAAATATCGTGCTTCGCCAAGGTAATTTTTCTTGTATAGTTTTTCACGTTTGCCGAGATTGGCTCCAGTATTTTTATTTCGGGAAATTCCTGTCCAATTACTTAGTAAAGGACTATTTTGTTCTCTTGCCAGATTGCTTACACGTTACTTAAATCAGCGAGTGTTTTATTACTGAACAATTTAAAGTAGCCAGAAAACATTTAGTGTTTTCAATGATGAGGGTACAAATTGTGCACACATGGCTAGGTATTGGAGGCGTATGAACATGATTTTCCCGAAATAAAATATACTTTGTCGAAATGAATTTAGAGAAGTGCATAGTAACTCTTTCTTTTGAATATTTTAAGATGATTTTTGATTGAGTTAGTGTCGAAATCTATTAATACATTTGTAACGTACAACCATTTTGAATTACACTTTCATTAGCAAATGCATATGAAGTTGGCGTTTGTTTATGGGTATCGATGGAGATTGGCCGCAGTTTCGCGCGCCGTACGAAATGAACTCCCTCGAAAAGCGTAACAGAATAGAAACAAATTGTCTATTCTAAACATAAGATTTTTGCATTGTAAAAAATAAGCAATTTTTTTCAAGTATTCTTCCTAAAAGGGGGATGTAATTTGGTTATGTATCTATTCATTTCGGGTAAATTAGGAATCTTCCCTCGCGTTTCTCTACGATTTTCCCTCAAGTTTCGATGTCTGGACAAATGTAAAATACTGTTGTTATTACAATATTGTAGTATTTACATTACCTAGTTTATAATATAACGCTTATTTCTTACATACTTTTCTATGCGAAATTATTTATTCCCCAAGTGGGTTATAGAATGGTATTAGTACACACGTCCATTTCAATCTTCGATTCATAAATAGCATAAAATAGGAAATAGCGAATGTTGCTGAATGCTTCAGAAGCGATTCAATAATGGTGTGATACATTTGTGAGTTGCTTGTGCAAAACTTGTTTCTCGTGGCGGATTTCGTTGGTCGATTTGACGTGGGCGGGGTGTGAAGGTCGGCGTACTCGGGCGCGTCGACCGTTGCCGCGCGGCTTCGCGGCCGCCGCCTGCAGGGCCGCTGCCCACACTTCCTGTCGGCGCGCACTGCCCGCGATGAATGAAGCCGTACAACTACGAAGGAAAAAAATAAATAAATACTACGCGAAACTTCGTCAAACTGGATAATGTAAAAGGGAGAATTTTTTAAAATTTTATTTTGTGTGTGGAAAAAGTGGTTGCAATTAACTTGTAGTCAATTTTCTAGCTATAAACCTCATTAGTAAATAAATTGCCTAAAATGTATATAAAGAATGTCGATGTCATTTTTTTATTTATATTGTGTAGAATTTCTCCTTAAAAAACGTGTTGTTGGTTGGATGTTTGCATGAATATTGAAAATTCGCCGGCGGCGCTTTTGGTGTCATTTCGCTGGACCGAACGGCGCGGCGAGGCGCGGCGCGGCGCGTGCCAAGACGCCGGGGAGAGGGGTGGGGGGAGCGAGCCGTTGTGGAGAGAGGGGAAGGAAGTAAGCGGAGGGTGCAGCCTCCCTTGCGCAACCGCCACCGCCGCGGCGTCGCTGCACCGGCAGCTGCCGCAACACCCCCAAGGAGTCCACGCCACTTGCTCCCCTCCTCGGTCGCCGCACCCCAGGCGATTCCGCCTTCGTGGGCCTCGGGGGCATATGCGATGGAACGGAGGGCTCGGCACGTTTGACTTCAAGGAACAATTTAAGGCACACTGAAGACGGAATTTCTATTTAATGTACAAAGATGTGTACTCGTAAATTTGTTATATCTATGTAGACTATGCACAGTCGTTTAAAATCGATTTATTTTATTATTAAAAATAATCAGTTTAAAAAAAATTTCGGTGGTAGCGCATGTAAAACATTTTTCTTACAGCACTTTCCTCTTCCTCGAGCATTTTAACATAGTTTTGCCTCCCTTCCTCTCCTTCCCTCTCCCCCTCCCTCTTCCGTCCCATCTCTCTGCTTCCCTCCCTCTGTCTCTCTCCCGCTGTCTCCCTCAGTCTCCCTCCCTCTTGTCTCCCTCCCTCTTGTCTCCCTGCCTCTGTCTCCCTCCCACGTTCTCCCTCCCTCTTTCTCCCTTCCTTTTTCTTCTTCCCTCTTTCTCCCTCCCTCTTTCTCCCTCCCTCTCTCTCTCCTCTGTCTCATCCAAGAGTTGCATTCGTGTTACTGAGTTTTGAAAGTTCTCCGATTTGATATTTTCTGGTGGAATTATTATAGTTTTAATTCGTGAATTACCCAGATTCAGACATTAGACGTTACATCTTCAATATATATAAAAACTCCGACACAGTGTTACCGATCTCCATGAAAGTTGGCACATCTACCTGTTTTTTCACCCAGAAGATTTATGTGCTGTTAATTTTGTTGTAATTCCACTAGATGATGCTACAGAAAAAAATTCGCTTCATTTTAATTCAATTTCCATTGAAATGCGCTCCGCCTGGGCTTTATTGTTGCTGAGCGTTGCCGTGTGACACACACACAGAGACAGAGAGAGAGAGAGAGAGAGAGAGAGAGAGAGAGAGAGAGAGAGAGAGA